ATTCCCTCAGAGTGGACACGAAACACCAAGGATCATCTAATAGTGGAACATGGATTTAATGCTTTCTACAGAGTGGTTCATATTCCCCCTCATTTTATGAGTGGCTGTCTTCCTGCCCAATGTCCGAATGTCTTACATAGCCCACTCCACCACTGCAGTGAAAAGGGGTTCTGGTTGAGGCAGATTTGTGCAGAAGCAAGTGAGTAACAGAGACCATTTGAGCTGTGCAAAGACAGTGAAAGGAAAGCCTGCCTGTCGCAGGTGGTTGCAGAGGGACAGAGTCCTCAGTAGTTAGTTAAAATACATTATGGAAGGATCAATCTGATTCTGTGTGGACCAGTACAGGGCAACAGTGGGATGCATGGACAGTGAGTGAATGGCTACGAGTATGTAAGCTCAGAAAGAAGAGGCTCCAGGCACAGGAATGCTAAGATAGTGGCCAACGCTCCCCAGGTGTGGGAGAACTGGAGCTCAAGTCCACCCTCGTCACCTCTCATCTGTTTCATGATGCCCGTCAGCCATTCTGAACTAACCCTTTCTCTTGTGATTATGAAATGACAACCCCAGCAAGCCCTTGCTGTCAAGACTCCCCAGTTCAGAGCAGGAAGGCTACTTCCTCTTAGAATTTTTATCTACTAGCTATGTTTACAGTTTGCTTTTCAGCTTTCTCCATAATTCTATTTGTGACAGCACCAAGAATGTAAAGTAATTCTTCCTAAGTTCTTTCCCCATTCCTTCCTCTTCTGCCCAGCTTTTCCTCTGGGGAGAAGCTGATTGACACGTTTCATCCTCTGATCAGAAGTCTGTGGCCAGACTGACCTATTAGGCCAGGTATTTGCACCGTTAGAAGGCTGGTGTCTGTAGCCGAGGGTTTTGTTATGTAGTGTGTGACGTGCTACATAGGATGATCTATTACGTGAATATCCCCACAGGTACTGAGCAGAATCTGTCCCCATGGTTCCACCGAAGAGGAAGCAGAACCAGAAAGACTAATACTTGTCTCAAATTCTTACAGGGATCAGGACGCTGGGTGAAGGCTGAAACTGCCTAAATTCGATGATCTTATTTCATAATGAAGAACAATTTTATTAAATACTAGAGGCCCAGTGCATGAATTCGTGCATGGGTGGGGTCTGGAGATGGGGGCTGGACCAATCCGGAGGAGGAGACAGCAGGAGGTTGTCCAGTGGGCCCACCCTGATCGGGACCCGATCAGAGCCAGGCCAGTTGAAGGAAGGGGCTGCAGGCGATTGGCCAGTGGGCCCCACCCCCAATTGGGGTGATTGGGGAGGGCTGGCTGTGGGAGGTTGGCTGGCCAGCACACACACACCCCCTCCCCGGCCCCCCCACCCCTCCCAATCGCGTTTGTTTGCTGGCCACAGTGAGCATCATAAAAAAACAGTCATTCTGGTTGTTACGGCGTCTGGTCACTGGCTTTTTATATAAATAGACTACAGGGCCGGTGCACAAAAATTTGTGCACTCGGGGATGGGGGGTCCCTCAGCCTGGCCTGTGCCCTCTCGCAGTCTGGGACCCCTCAGGAGATGACCACCTGCTGGCTTAGGCCTGCTCCCCGGGGGATTGGGCCTAAGATGACAATCAGACATCCCTCTGGCAGCCCGGCAGCCCTCAGGGGATGTCCA